AAGCTGTGCAATTAATAATCAGGTGAAAAAATTTCTGTGAATTATTCTGAAAATTCACAATTAGCTAGCAGCCGAATCCATGCATATCCATGATCGAATGAGCACTTGTATACTATTAATCTAATTGTTTATAATTTACAGATGTACATTGTGGACTAGAAGGAACGACTTTGACTACTAACGACAGATATTTTGCTACACTTTGGTGAGATTGCTATGGAGTGCAGTAATAACGAACGATCTGTAATGCGCTCTGAAACATGATCTGCGTGTCGTAATATAGCAATGTCACCGCCTAAGATCTTTGTGTGTTGGGTGATCATCTCATTGAGCCGTTTGCATGGGCATAATGTTTCTGGCTTATGATGGCCGTAATATTCACAGCATTACAACGCTTATGCTATAAGCCACCTATTACTGCATCATTAATGGAACGGTTCCTCTCTGAGAGCAAAACTACCTTAACCATCTTTCTCCATGTTGTTTGCTAGCATCCTGATCGACATCTGCAGTGTTTCGGCTCCCACACGAAAATCTCATAGGCTGCAGTAAATGATGTATGCTGAACCACTTTGTCTAACAGACAAAAATCATTTTCTTAAATCTAAGATCTTCACATCTACTCAGATCACTTGTACCTGGAGGGGAACAGACCTATTCCTTACGTGGTCCTGCCATTCAACCCCTTTATGCGCGAGACCAACGTTGCTGTACGAGATCAATCACCTTTCTTACTCCATCGTTAGAACAACTCTCTGCATGTGTCATGGCAACGGTGATCTGAAAGAGGCAAGGCACAGGCAAATTTTTGTACAAAGAGGTACTCCTTTCTCAGCTCAGCTATTGGACAGGTTTCTAAAAGAATTCGAGATTTGGGCGATCCTCCTGTTGGACTTCCATTGGATGGCATCGCTGAAGGTGATTGAGCCGAGATGCTTAAATTCATTGAATTCCTTTATAGCCTTGCTCTCTGATCTGCTGGTAAATCAGCTGCGCTGATGGTTTCCTCGTAACCTTGGAGCTCCAGGCCATCAAGGTTGAGACAAGCTTACTCATTTAGGTGCAATGTGCATCAGGGTGTCGCAAATACTTCATTTTCGCATAGTTACTCTCCTGCCTAGGGTCTAATGTGTTCTCCATAACCTAGGAAATTGGGCTACATTTTTCCTGATACGGGTTGCGTTTTTCGCCAAAAAGTGGCGCCATCTTTGAAGTCTTTGTAAGCTTCAACGCTTGGGTACACAGAGTGGCGATAGAATTACTCTACCTCGTCTTGGCCAGTCGATCGCACCATTTCGCAACTGTCCAGTCTGTCAGCGTCGAGGTGTTGGTGTGCTTCAGATAAATTTAGACAAATTTCCGCCACGACTATGCCATGGCCAGACTTAATACACAGACCACGCCTTATGTGAGTCTCAGGTAACGATCTGTGCAATTCGCAGTGATGAAGACGTGGCCTAGTTTTATGTTCAGGATTCCGTCGAGGGATATTCGTGTAGTGTGGTGCAATCGTTTGTGTAGAACTAGGGCCCTGCCAATGTTTAAGCTGTCTGCTTCACAGAAGCTTAGCAAGCGCGCGCCGTTTTCATTCACGGTATTAATTTTGTGACGGTCAAGTACGTATAACCCATTACTGTAGTCGGTTGCAACCTTGTATTAAGGCTGTCAATGCATCTGTGAAGTTGCGACGTGTCAAAGTGCGGATGACTGACTGTAAGCAGTCGTAGAAAGCGTCTTTCTCCCTGTCA